AGAAAAAAGCCAGTGATACATTAATGTCTTTTGTCTTAAAAGAAAAACACATTAGCAAAGACTTCAGTGATACAAACAGCTTTTTAGGTAAAAGTTTGCACTTGGCATGCTTTTGCACAATTACATGATCTTTATCAGTATACATGCTGATAATCTGTCAAACCTTGGCTGGGGAGGACTTGACTCGCGCGCCGACAGAGAGGGCTCAGCCGCTGCTGCCCACCTATAGGCTCACCACCGCTAGTGCAGTCTGAATGAGCTGACTGGAGCGCGAAAGCATCTCTGAAGCAACTGACCTTGTATAGCACCATGTAAAACCCCCAAGTAAGCACGCCTTAACATTCTTCTAGGTTATCACGTGATGATAATAGTGACACACAAAATCAGCATACCTACAAGTACTTTTAATAAATGAAATAAAAAGAATGCGCGGTAGGTTTGGTAGGTTGCTGAGTACATGATGGTGTGTCAGGCTACACCATGTCCAGAAGATGATCTTTTTCAGCTGTTATGCTCACTGAAGATACAGGAGTTTAGATATTGTTTAAAAGATGAAAATGAAAGAGCTTGACAAACTACGGTAAAGAGCATTTCAGATAGGTCAGAGTAACTTCCTGTACAGTATGTTACTGAGAAAAATTAGATTTCATTTCTGGCTAGATTGATCTGAGTGAATGGGGAACTCCAGAAATGATCAGGTCTTGAGCACTCAGAACCTAGAGAAAAGAGAAGGAGAGAGCGACACTGAGCGGAGCCCTACCTTCTTATTGAGCAGCCTTTTCATTCCCGACGGCACAACTCCAGACACCTAGGGAGACAGTCATAACACAGACAGAAGCCTGAGCCGGCATGTCATTTTCAGGGTGGACAGAGATGAAACTTGTAGTTCAAGTGCAAGAAAGCAGGACTTGAGCAGACAGTTCTCAAAGAGAAGGGAACAACATGGAAAGACCCTGTCTTTTTTCTCTTGAATAATTTGGTAAAATATTTTGGGTGCAGGGTGAAGAGGCTTGGAAATAGCATTTTAAGGTCTGAGCAGTTGCACAAAGTATTGAGCAGTTTCATAGAGTGGGAGAAGAAGTCCCAGAGGAGAGACTCCCTGAATATCATTGCCCTCCTCGTAGGAAGCATAAAGGCCACAGCCAATCACTTCCTGGCCTTTTGGCTAAGATCAAGTGTATGAAAGCCACAGCCAGGAACACAGGTGAAGGCAGTCATCAGCTCTAAGAGAGAGAGCCAGCTTTCCACTGGAATAGTGCCACCCTGGAAAAGCAGGCCACTCCATCCTGAAAGTACCTGAGAAAGCAAGAGGGTACCCTGTCCAGGGGATGGTGATGTGACACAAGAATCAAAGAACTACTCTGATTTCTTGTAAGCAATAGCCAACATTTATCACATTTATTAAAACTTACTATGCATATCAAGATATAGAGTAAAACAACAGAAAATTAAGAAAATGAACAGACAATATAAGCAGATCCAACAGTAAATCAGGATTGAAATTACCTACCATGTGTTTTAAAATTATGAAGATTAAATGCTTCACAAAACTGCTAACAAGATTTAACATCACAACATGAACTGGAATTTTTACATAATAAACAGAAATTATAGAAATGAAAATATAATAATGTAATACTATAATAGATGTGTTGATTTTCAGGTTATATGGTTGAAGAGAGAATTAGTGAGCTAGAAGGTACTGTTAGGAAATATATAAACTTAAATACAAAGAGAAAAAAGAATACACAATCTACAAAAGAACCTATGAGATAATTAGACACAATAAAAAGATTGAGTAGCCATACTGCACTTTCAACAGCCAGGAGGCAAAAAAACAATGCAGAATATTAGAGCACACTGGTTTTTTAAAATGCCTACATAAAAACTGTAAAAGCAATCACATAAGTAAAGACATTGTCTTCAAAGAAAATATTTCATTAGAAATCACAGAAAACAAAATATAATGCAATGGCATCTTCAAAATGTTGAAAGAAAATATATACCACCCTGCAATTCTTTATTCAGAAAAGGAAGATGGAATAAAGATATTATTTTTCTGTAGAATTCAACAATGAGGGTTGGGGATTTAGCTCAGTGGTCCAGCATCTGCCTGGCAAGTGTGAGGTCCTGAGTTTGACTCCTGGTACCCCTCCACAAAAAAATTCACCAATGAATTCACTATTCTAGAAAGATAATTTTGTATTTTACTGATGACTACATAAAAAGTCAGAAACAGATTAATAATACTATGTATTTTATTTGACCCAGTATATCTGAAATATCATTTTAACATTAAATAGATATAAAATATAATTACTAAAATATTTCACCTTTTTAAAACTGTTTTCAAACTCTGGTGGGCATTTAGACTTAGAGTACATATCAGTTTGAAATAGTCACTTTTCAAGTGCTTAATAGTGTCATGTGATTAGTGACTACCCTGATGGATAGCAGAGATTTTTGTCTCTAGCAAAAATAAATTTAAGTGGTATCTACAGTACATGAATTAGATCTACTATTGAATAATTAGTTTAATGAGATATCAGGTATCAAATGTCATTTTAATTACTTAATAAATTCTGTTCTGTGTAGAATACAGTAGAGTTCTCTGGTAATTGATGTGATCACATTAAATTCCTGAAATACAACACCACTTAATGGTGTAGACTTTCACACACTAAAATAAAAAGAAATCTTTGTCTGGAATATAAAGACATTAAATTGTTTTAATACAATCTCATTTTACATTAAAAATCAAAGCTTACACAAGTGTGGTAGTCACTATTATATACTCAGCATTTAATTCATAGTTCCATATCCATTAAATCTTTATGGAACAATGTCTATTCTTAGTCCAAACTTGCTTGATTGTGCAGTTTGGCCAAAAACACCTCCTAAATGTTGCAGTAGGATAGAATCCCACAGTAATTGACTAAGGCATAACATTAATTTTTATTTCTCTGTACTAGAAAAGATAGGTTAATAAAAAAAGCTGTCATACCTCATTTTAAAACTCTTCTCTCTTGGTATTAAAGGCAAAAAGTTAAAGCAGACTTTCTAAAAACTAGATTAGCGCTTATTTCTAGAATTTTGCAGATTAAGCTCATTTACAATCTGTTAATTACTCCTTAGGGCTAATATTCAACCAGTCTCTAGAAGTGCAAACATATTGCTTTGAAAACGGGGTCATTTATGTCATTTAATTTGTGGATTATAAATGTGTAGCAACCATATGAGTGGAGAGGGCAGGCACACTCACCATTTAGAAGCTTGCGTTTTGCCTCCTGGGTGTTTTTGTTTGGCTTTTTGTTCTGTAGTGTTTCCTGTCTTTGTCACAAAAGGATTTGACAGAGTGACATTAAATGTTTTCTTCAGAACAGAATGTCTTAAAAATGGACTAAGCTGTAGAGATTCAAATGAAAGAATAGCAGCTTTTAATTATATCATTCATAAAATTTCAAAAAGTATTTTACATACATGAATAGTGAACTCATTAACATAAACTTATCAATATCACTCAGCAATATTTTACATGTTTGTATTCCTAAAGTTAATATCTATAAATATGCTTTAAAATGTAAACAAGTTATTAGTCATCTATTTAACTAAAGTGTTTTAAAATTCTTACCAAAATATATACATATCTGAAAGAAACTAAAATCCTTGCTAAAGCCTATAAATTTTTAAATAAGAAATATGTGCATTTCTATTTGTGAATATCAATAATGTTTAATCATAAAATAAAGTTTTCTATCAATTACAATAAATAGTGATATTCCACTACTCACATTTATGCTGTTGAGAAATATTCGCTCTGCTGCTATCATCTACCCAAGGCTGTCTTTGTACTAGGCACAGGCAGTGTCAAAGCCTGCGTCTTCCACCACATAACACAGCTCTGACAACACTGGGACACACTGTAAAAGCTAAGCACCTAGACAACAACAACAGCAAACCAACCCCATTTCCAGTTGCTGTAGGGTTTTACTAAATCTCTTAAAGTAAATTTAACTTTACATTCCTTCAGCCAATGCATAGGTGTGTTCTTTGTGACAGGAACAGTTGTAAGGTCACCCTGCAGGTGCTCCTCCTCTTATCCGAACTCCACCCAGCAGGGCACGTGAAGATGGCAGGAAGTGCAAGCTGAATGCCTAAGTTTAGTTTTTATTTAATCATCTGTATGTGACGAGGTGGTGGTTAAAGTTCTGGGCAGCTCCATGTCGAACATTAACAGATGCCAATGAAAATTTAGACTCAGACACTTCCAATATCTGTGGCCGTGGCCTTCGGAAATTTATCTCTACTGTTTGAACTCTGATTTCCTCATTTTTCAAATGGACTCAGTGATCGCTACCTTATGTAGGCTTTCTAGATATATTAACTGAATTAAAAACATAAAATAGTCTTTCTTTTTGAGACACAATATATACCTCAGTGATTGAAAGCACAGAGTTTTCATTATTTGGAACCCATTCCTGACATCTGCTTTCTGTATCTTCTTAACTTCTTAATCTCTCAGGAGATGGCACATTTAGAAAATTAGTATAATAATGAATTTATATGTGTACAGTATATCAACTAACCTACTAAAATTATTATATGTTATCATTAATCTGCGTAGTGTCCTCCAAAAATTAAATATGTGTATCACATTACTTAATGTGAATTCTTGTTATTAGAGGTAAACCAGTAGGTGGAACTCCTTCATCCAGCAGTCTTCAAAAGTACTGTAACTTCATTGACATAAATTAGTTCAGTATACATTTAGGATAAAATTTAAAAGAATATTATCTCCAACAGCATATGGTGTTTGGCAGTATTGGCATTAAGAAAAAGTTATCTTCTATTACAAGCATCAGAAATGACTATAGTACAAATCCAGACATATATAAAATTATGAAATAAATAGAATGTAATTGAGGGAATCTCCATTTGTCCAGTTACTAGCACCCAGTGTTCCTTGAACTCAGATTCTTCTGGAAATTACTCCAGAAGTACATGATTAGGGAAGATATAGGACAATGATCACTTAAAAGTTTTAAAGAATTATTGCTAGATATGATAGGGATTGGAATCACTGAAATGAGGGTTGGGGAGTTAATTCTGGCCTCTCATCTCCAATTTCCATTAAATTTCCAGGTAAAAAGACTGACTTCAGAAAGTTGAAAATATGCATTCTCTAGAAGTGAAAAAGTAGGGTAGTGTCATTGGGAATGAAATACCAGAACAATATGGTGTCCCCAGGGTTAAGTTCTGGCATGGCATACAACACAATCTTATAAGCTGAATAGTTAACTTTGTTTCTGACATAGGCACAAGAATATGCTGAGGTAGGGATGGCAATTCAACTTCCCCAATCAAAATATCAGCAGCACACTTTATAGAACTAGTGGAAACATTCCTAAAATTCATATGGAGCCAGAACAGACCCAGAATAACAAAAGCAATTTTGGGCAACAAAAACAAAGCAGGAGGCCTAGCAATACCTGACTTCAAGCTATACTACAAAGCAACCATGATAAAAACAATATGGTACTGGTACAGAAACAGATAGATGGATCAGTGGAAGGCTGCAGAGGATATGGAAACGCCCTCTGACACATTCAGCTATTTGATCTTTGACAAAGGAGCTGAAAATATATGTTGGAGGAAAGATAGCCTATTCAACATGTAGTATCTATATATAATGGAATATTAGTTGGCTATAAAGAATGACAGATTTGGGACATTTGTGGAAAATGGATGCACCTGGAAAATATAATATTAAGTGAAATGAATCACACACACAAGCTTAAATACCATCTCGTATCTCATTTGAGTAAAGCAAAGTATAAACACGGAACGATAAAGGATGGATGGAAAGGGACAAGGGAATAAATCTCTTGCAATAGAAAAGGCAAAAGGTGAGGAGGGGAGGAGAAATAAGTAGAATAAAGATGAACTATGCATGGGAAACTAATAACCTCAGAGAATGTAAACATTATATGCCATAACATGAGCTAAAATCAACATCAATAAGAATGAAAATCAGGATAGGTGAATAAGAGGAGGAGGAGGGGCAATGAGAGGAAGGGAAAGAGGATGTTAGAGAGAACCAAGCTGTGGTACGGCCGTGCGCCCACTCCCCAAGAAGACTGTAAACTACATGCACTGCAAACATGCACTGATACCTTTTTAAGTGAAAAAAGTTAGCTAAGATAACAGAAGGTCTGAATTTGGGCACAAGGGAAATATAAGCAGCATAGAAATAGCAGGATTTACCTACAACAGATATAAGAAATGGAATGCTTCCTATGGCCACTCACCACACTACTGCTTTCTGCATCTCTCCCCAAAGGTTCTGAAGGAGTCTGATACTGACGACCCAGGTTACAAAGGTCTATGGGGCTGAGATAGTATATGTTATAAAATAATATAAATCCATACTATTTAATGTGGCTCGCATCCCAAAACAGGTGGTCAATTCAATGGAAAAGTGGCCTGCTAGACCTAAAGTAAATGCAGGCATTTAGCATATGATGAAAACTGATATTTCAATCAACATGAAAAGGATATACTCAAAGGCCATATGTACTTAAATGATGAGTTTTGTATTTTAAAAATAGAAATGATTATATATTGTATCTACATATTATGGACCCACAAAAATGTAAATATTTAAACATTTAAAAAGTAAAATATTTCAGAACAAAATGATAGGAATTAGCAGTGGCTGTTATATTACATATCATTATCTTCAAGGAAGTTGCTCAGATTACCAGATGTAAGAATGCAAGATTGATCAAACCATTAAAGGGAATGAAAAAAAAAATAGAAAAGATATAGAGTTTCACTAGACAAGATGGTAGGAATTCACCAATGGTTGTTATATTGCATATTGTTGTCTTCAGATAAGTTGTTCAGATTACCAGATATACGCATGCAAAATTGGTCAAAAAGAAAAAAAAATTAGGCATTAACTATTTCTTTCAATAAACTGTTAGACTTCAGTATAGTTATCCCAGCTATCCATATATATATATAACATATATATATATATTATATATATATGTTTGTATATATTTTGCCTTCTTTCTTTCTTTCTTTTTCTCCTTTTCCTCATCCCAGTTTTTCTTTCCTTTGAGCAATGTCTTCCCCTTTCATAATATCTATTGTACATTTGGGGTTTTATTTACTCTTCCAGTTTCTTACACTAAGGAAACAATACAATGTTTACACATGTGGGTCTGTGGGTTGGATTTATTTCACTTATGAATATAAACTCTAATTGCATCCATTTAGCTATAAAATCCTTGAGTTTATCTTTTTTATAGCTGAGTAATACTCTACTGTATAAAAATACCACATCTTTTTATATTTTTCTCAGTTGATTGGCATTTGTGTTGATTATAAGATTTAGCTATGACAAATTATGCTGGTATAAACATGGGTTCACATATATTGCTGTGGTATGATGTTTTTAATGCTTCTGTGAAAATATCCAGAAGGATAATAGCTGGGTTAGTGGGACTTCTAATCCTTGTCTCTGTTGTTGGTAGTTTGCTATGGTTCATTTTTTAAATTATTCTCTTTAAAATTAAAAAAAAGAAAGAAAAGGAAAAATAAAATTCCTTAAACTCTCGCTCCAAAAAGTGAAATATTTGAATAAATACAAGAAAATACAAATGAATATTAGATCTAATATATTTTAGGAAATTATCCTGATTCTGCACACAAGTAACTGAAATTATATTTATTGTTACTGCACACAAGTAACTGAATTATATTTATTTTTTATTTGAAAAACAGTAAGGTTTTTCAAATCTTCTGGAAGAAATATTTGACCACTTTTAGAAACTATTCTTAAACTGGAAAAAATAGAATGCTTCCAAAATATGGTTAACACTAAAAATATTTGAACTACAGGACTTCAAGATCTACTGTGAAGCTAAACCCATCAAGACAATGTGGCATTCATGAAAGAACAATACATAGATCCATGGAACACAAATCAGACCTTGGAAATCCAACCACAGAAATATACTTAGGGAGGAAAGCTCTCCTTAGACAAAGGAGCAAAGGCAATACAAGGGAGCATCAGAAATAGTCTTTGTGGTAGTATTAACAAGAAGCTCACCGAGAACCAAGACATAATGATGAGAATGTGGCAATGAACACAGACCTGAACTTTAACAGTCACTTCAGTGAAGTAATGTGGATGACAGAACAATCCCAAGTTCTTAACTATGCAAAACACATAATTAATATTGTGCTTCTTTTTAAATCATGTGCAAGTGGAGAAGCAAAATGACTGGCACCCTTATTTTGTATTCAAAGCATTTTCCACCTATAGATAGAAACGGCTATGAGATGTATCCTGTTTATTTAATCTGCATTGAAACATGTTCAGATTGTAGCTTTCC